GAGTCTCCTGGAGGGAGATCGAGAGTTTGTGTATAGATCTATACGAGGTGACACCCCACACCTGAGCTGTTCGCTACAGTTAGACTAGGCCAATCTAGGGTGACAAACCTTACTGTCAATCAAGCTGGCGCCTAAAAACGCCACGACATGCGAATTCGTCATAATCAAGTATGGTTAAAATGGCTCACTTAGAGATCCTCTCCAACATAATTTTTTGGAACACCTATAAAATCTTGTTGATACAAAAACATACATACACTGATATTCGGTCTTAGGGTTGAGACCACAACACATTTATAAACGGAAAATATAGGATTTTCTGGGAAAATACACAACTAAACAATGTCTTTTACTTACTACAGAAATACCGTATTTTTATTCGGATTACATTTTATATACCTTTCAAAGACGGAAAACACACATGCATTAATACTTGATTCTGACACATTACTATCATACTATATACAGAAAATATCGGATTTTCTGGTGTTATACTAACAATACAAAAACTTTTTCTTTCAAACATGCTTATGAACTCACCAACATTATATATGTTGACGTTTTCAAAATAACTTGTATTCTCAGGTAATCGTTAAACGGAAAGGTCAGCAGGAAATGTGGAATTTGTTATATTTTGTTATCATCATACATTAAATATATTGGACATGTAATTTATGATAATGTACTTGATGTAAACAATGCTGGTTGTATTTTGATATGTATGATGATGGTGTTGTCTTGTTTCAATTATATACAAGTGTGATGATATTACAAGATGAAGTCACGCGCAAGCCCCCGGACATTTCCGCCGTCTGGTTCTGGGGTGTGACAGGTAAGTTGGGAGAACTTACTTGAGCTCGGCTGATTGCATGCACCACACCCTTTTTATATTTTTCAAAGTTCTTTTCTCTTTTATCAAAGTTCTTTTATAAAATGATTTTCCTTTGAAAATTTTCATACCAAGTCCTCAGTTTGAGTTCAGACACACCCGAGAGTGAGCCCGAATTCCTCAAACCAAGGCTCTGATACCAACTGAAACATCCCAAAAATATGGTCCGAAAATTTCAGTTTAAATCATTAATAAAAACCATAATTATCAACTATTTCATTCATAAACAAAAAATCGTTATATCAAATCAGAGTATTATCTCAAAAATGTTCTTTTTATCAGAGTAAACATCCCAGGCTAAAACTTCTTGGTGTGTGCCATGCAGTCATCCCGAGCTCTTCCCTCCGCTACTGGAAGTACCTAAAATCAAATCTGAAAACTGTAAACACGAAGCTTAGTGACTTCCCCAACCTACCACATAACATACACATAATCATATACTACAAACATTGGGCCTAGCCCGCTACATTGGGCCCCGCCCGATATCGGACGAATCCGGCATCAGGCCCCGCCTGGCATCGAGCCCCGCTCGGTATACAGATCTGTTTCTACTAGGCTCCGCCTGTCGGGCCCCGCCCGCTATACACATACAAGCAATAACATGTAATCATGCTAATACATAACAAACAATCTCTATACTATAACTGCTAGTCTCAAGGCCCCGCCTATCTTGGGCCCGCCCCTACTCTACTACTAATGAGATATGGAACCCCGTCGACACTCAGCTAGTGATGATATACGGGCTCTCGCCCACACTCATCCCCCTACCAGGCACATACAAGTATCATAAAGACAACAAGTATAACTAAACATACACTACTACCTCGGGTACCCCCCGACATCGAACCGTAGCTCAGAAACATACCTATAATCCTTCCTCGGGCCTCGCCCGACATCGTACCGAAATCCGGAACATATAAACTGCATCGGGCTAACCCCGACATCGGGTCTAAATCCGGTATACACTAACATACGTAAACGGGTCGGCATTGGTGCCTTAGACCCGTTCCTACTGGAGAAAACTCACCCCACAAGCTGACTGTAGAATCCTGCGAATCACCCCTCGTTGTTAGCTGGCAGATCCTCGAACTGCTGATCACTCGACTCCCCGAGCTATCAATTACCAAAATGACACTTAGACCAAAATACCCTCCAAAAGTCAAACTAAGTCAACCCCGGTCAAAGTCAAAGTCAACGGTCAATGGTTAAAGTCAACACTCCGAGTTGACTCAACTCGTCGAGTTGCTCCATCAACTCGTCGAGTGCTAAAACTCCGAGCACTGAAATCGTGAACCAACTCGTCGAGTCAGCCCCTGACTTGGCGAGTTCCCTGGCTACCCCTGGTCGCGATTTATTGAATCTACTCGTCGAGTCAGTCCTCAGACTCGCCGAGTTCTCGCATAAACAGAAATGGGACAACTCGCTTCAACTCGTCGAGTCCCTCCCTGGACTCGCCGAGTCCCTCAGTCTGTTGGGCTATCTTAATGGATTATGCCTTTACACTCCAGATCTAAGTCCCAAACTTTGCCTATATGCTGGAAATGACCTCTTAAGGGTAAAGTTTCCAACTTTACCCACCCCAAGTCCTTCTTAATGGGTTTAGACAAAACCCTAGCTCCTTAAGACATAACTCTATGTCCAAAAACCCTTATTACTCCAATGCAAAACAAGGAAACCAAGATCTAGGCTCTAATCATCCAATAACCACGTAAAGTCCTGAACTTTACTTCCATGCATGGCCCTTTGGGACACTAAAGGCCATACTAGCCTCCTTAGGGTTTGTATGGGACTCTAATGGCATAAAGTTTGCACCTTTATGCCTTCACAACTCTCAATGACCTCACATCTGATGGGATCATGAACTTGGGGCACCCATAACCCATGAATCATACTTCTTTGGACAAAAGCTCCCTAAAAGGAACCATGAAGAGATCTAAGAATCTACAAGGCAAGTTAAGAGCTTGATTACCAGAAAGTGATGAGATTAGAACGAAATCCCTGGATCTACAACCTTCTCCTTGATCCTTCAAGCTCCTTCTTCTTCCTCTAGTCTTCAAGAACACATAAAGCACTCTAGGATGGCTCACACACTCTCAAAAGGCCTTAGGGTTTCGTGGGGTAAGCTCTGGACAATAGGGGCTGGGAATGGAACCAAGAGGAGGAGAATAAGATGCTTAAATAGGGTACCAAGTCCCGAATTTAGGGTTTCCCAAACCCTGACCAACTAGCCGAGTTGGTCTCCCGAGTCGCCAAGTCGGTCACTTAATCTTGCGACTCAGAAACTGCTCCGACTCACCGAGTTCTTCCATGGACTCGACGAGTTGACTTCATCATTTAGGGTTTTTCCTTCCTTCATTGATCTTCTAGATTCCGGGTGTTACAACTATTCATTTATTAATCTTTATCTATTTATTTATTTAATAAACGAGATGTTACAGTCCAACTATCCAAAATGTTGCAAGGATAGTCCCTATTTGAAACTAAACTATCATGTTTGGTCCCTGACATTTGACGTCTCTTTCCCATTTAACATCCCTCACATGTTAGAAAGAGTGCATATGACTGAAATGAATTAAAAAAATATTAAAATGTGTACGTGATAAAATCACTATGTTGATTTAATAAACATAATTAAAATTAGTTTATGAATAAACATGAAGAACCTTCAACTAATTGATGGATACTTATTTGAAAAAGAATTATACTTTCAATGGAGTTGAGGATGATGAAGTCATATTGTGACCATTCTCACTTCCTATAATGGGTATGGGGCCTTAGTGAAAATATTGATTTAGTGATAATCTTGATGGATAGATTACACACATCATGATACTGGTATTTGTTGAGAGAATTTGTGAGCATATGAAATAAAGAATCGATGATCTCTTCTCAAACGTACACCCCTCCTATATGTGTGTTTAAGTTACACCTTAAGGAAAGTTTAGAACCACACATATTTAATGCCTCATATCCATCATCCATCATACTATAAGTAATTAATCTTAGGAGCCCAATACGTCATTATAAAAAATAATATGGTACACAACATAATTGTACCTACACATAAACTTATTAACAAAATAGTATGAAACCCACAATAACGTTTTATTTTCCAATATTCTTCCACTTGGGCCAAGTTGCTATTTGTATGTATGTTTTTCTTATTTATTTGGCCAAGTCAATTTCATCTCGTTTCGTACTAACACCAAAAGCAGAAAAGTACAACCTAACACACAATTTTCGACACGGGACCTATCCACCTGATCATACTTTGGTGTCTCATATGATGCTTACGATTAATTTAAACCAAATGACTTTAGAGTTAAACTGTAATGTAATACATTTGTCTATATAGAAAGTAAGTGTGTATACGTTATCAATATAAACAAATTGCATATTATGGAGAAACAATAATCAAATATTTAAATAATTAAAATTAAAATTTCTAATAAATCACTATGTTACAATTACATTATAGCGTTTCCTATAAAAGATATTTATTTTAAACATATGCATATTAAAAAAAATTCTAAAATACCATCTGATTTAATGTTATTTTACTCAAATTTCCGGTAAATTTTCAATGTCGTTTAGAATTTTATTAATAAATTAATGTATGTATTTAAGTATTTATTTAAATTATAATTTTATTTATCATCAGATAAAGAAAAAATATGATGCATTTGTTGATAAAGTTGAATTTTTTAATAATAATTGAACATTAACTTTAAGTCTAGCAAAGGTATAAAAAAAAATTTAGAATAGTTTTTGGGACTTGCACAATTTCAACATGTGACGATTTAGTAATATATATACCTTTTATTTTATTCATTTTGGCGTTACGCTACTTTTCTTTCATAAATGTATTTTTAATACTTTTTGGAAACATGGAATAATCTGTTAGAGATTCTAATTTACCTATTTCATGTTAGTCAAATGAGTATCACCCTATATTGTAAAATAGAATAGGATTGAAGGTGAGAGTTAGAATAGGATTGAAGGTGAACTCTCAAGCATTTATAAATATTTCCTCATCAAATTCAATATTGATAGTTTCTATTTGTATTACATAAACATAAATACACAAAATATTACAACAACATATATATGCATGTGAGAAAAGAATAATTGTCATTTGGGAGGATTATTTACAAGCCATAATCATAATCATTAATTATTACAATCGCTGATATACATTCTTCATTCTTGATTTTATCCAGATTTTGCAGCATATATATAATTATGTGGAAAATGAGTTTCATGCGGGTTGTTCTACTTGTCTGTTTTTCCACACGATTGGAGCTACTAACATCCACACTACAAACATACATACATAAAATCATTTCACAAACAATTGGTTTTTTGCCATTTATCAAAAAGTAAAAAGTCTGTGAGGGACATATATATTGAAAGTTAGAAAACTCACAGTAAACGCAGACAGCTAGCCACTCATTTACTATTCTGACCCAAGTACTCGTCCAACCAACATCGATAGTCCACCTGCATTTATAGAGGGCAATTTAGTAAATTCAGACATTGAACGTTAAAATTCCAAAGATCTTGTACTAGAGCTTACTTTTTCATGGGGTGGTGATAATTCCAACCTGTCAACAACATTGCGAAATACATTGCTCCCGTGGCAAACACAAGGTGGAAGAAACCGAAACCATATGGCACCGCGTCTTCATCTTGTGTTTCATCCTTTTTGAACTGCATATATTATTAATTATATTCTCAGTTGTATATTACAAAAATAATAATATTAAATTTTTAATAAAGGTGGTATATATTTTATTACACTTAAGGTGAAAGTGAGGTAGTATTACACTATTACTATTACCTGAAAGCATTTAGAATCAATTCCAGTTGAAAATGTCGCAATAACAATTGCAAGTACAGCAACAACAAAGCTCTGTTAATAAATAAATAAAAAGTGAGTCAAGAAACATTTTATCTATATTTAGTGTACTATATATAATCTACTTCTCCTACAAATCAATTTTAGAGTTTTAAACGTGTAAACACATTCTTTTAACCAATATTTTCTAATTTACTCATTTGACCCGATATCCATAAAATAAATTCAAAATTCAGGGGCTTACTATGATGGTTAGCCAGTCTCTTGAGGCTTCAGATTTCCTAAGACATTTATCATCTGGAGGTTCACTGTAGGCACAAAGACGTGGTCAAGTTGTAAGCAACAAGACTGCAAAACAACATTACAATTTGTTACACAGGACATGACATGACATGACATGACATAATATACTATACTATACAGAAACTAAAAAAAATTATGAGCATGTCACTATCCTATTTTTCTAGTGGGACAAAAAAATACAGTTTTGTTTGGTGTCATGTCATGTGTAACAAACTGGACCTAAAAGTGAATTGTACCTTCTGATGGCAGACCAACATAGGAACACGACATAAAGACCCATAAAACCTGGAGTTAAGAATCCGGCGCTGATCTATTTAACATAAATATATATAAAATCAATATGACATGACACTGTGATGAATGGAAATATTTGAATGATTAAAATTACTTTTGGGTGAAGAGAGACGCTTGTCATAAGTTGTAGTAGTACGAGTGTCCATGTGATGAAGAAAATGTTGAGTAGACAGCTCGGTTGTGGCGTGTACCAAATGTACATCAAAATGATTCCTAGAATCGATACGATGTATGCGACAGTTGCAAGCAACATGGAATGGATGTGACTGGACAAGATCAGTGACCCGGTGTTACTTTTTTTTTTTTTTTTTACTTAATAGACTTAATACAGAGTCTCTTTTTTACTTAATAAAGAAAGTCAGAAATTTTTACCATCTGACGGCATATTTTTCGGAGAGACAACAATCATTGAGCCATGTAATGAAACTAATTATACTTATTAGTTGAATTAGTAAAAAGACCCTACAAATATAGAAATAGACAACATGGTTTAGAAGTTGTCATATTTTCATAAAAGTCATTAAATGACAAAAGATGCAATGGTTAAAAGAAGTTAATACCCTGCACCAAAATGTGCTACATCTCCTGCCAAAAAAAAAAACAAAAAATTAAACATGTCAAATTAATGCTAATAAGGAAATTCTTGCATGATTAAAAGTATAATGTGCTATTACTAACCATATATTAAAATCATTTGTGTAGGAAGAAAAAATGGCAACACAATTAGCGCAATCATGAGGAAAATTTTAGCGGACCACCAACCAGAATGCCATAATTCTTTTCGTACATGTAACTTTGAGGTACCAGCGGTTGAAAGAAACATTGTTAAATAAAATATCTAATATTATATATTATTAAGGTTTTTACCCAAAAATAGAAATGAGATATAAAAAGATTGAAATAGTTAGTTGCTATATCCTATTTTTTTCAATGTAAAAGGATACAAAACATCCCATGCTCACTCTCAAAACTCCTTCTGTGCCTAAACAATCTTTACCACCTTGACAACTTTTCAATCCTATAACAAATAAATAAAAACAAAATTCAAAACATTTTCAATTAAAGTTTAAAAGTAATATAAACATTAATTTGTTATATCATATATAAATCTTACTCTTCATTTCGGTCAATGCGCTAGGTCCATAATCACGAACAGCCCACGCGAGCAAATTTGCTAAAAGAAACATGAGACTGTATACATATCTTGCCATCCACGGATTGGATCCATGGCGGAATTGGGTCAACCAAGAACCCGTTAACAACTTTGCATGCCGATTGCTAATACTGTTTGATGTTGATGTCTCCTCCATTCCAAGTTCTAGTCTTGATATGATCATTACACGATGCGATAGACCTAGTGAAATTACTCCACCGAATCCCTTCTCATCTGTAATTACCAGTATAACAAAATATTTCCAATTTGGTCAATGTATTTAAAAAAAAAAATCAATTATTTAGGTCAGAATAACACACAAAGACACCTCTTAATCTATTCCTAAATTACATTACTATCCCATATGAGACTTGAATGCAATTACTTGAACAGAGAGACACCATGTCAACACCAAATATTGCTCATGTTGACATGTATACCGAAAATATTAGTTTCATAAATATTAGTAATCTAACATGTATACATAACATAAATTTTTAGTTTAGTAATCTAATTGGCATAAAATATTAGTTTCATATATAACATGTATAATATAAAGATTATATACATGTGTATAACGACTAGACAACAGTCACATATATATATAACATTAAACTGGTGTCAAATCATGATAACTTGTTTAGTAACCGGTTATTGTCTTCCATATCCGTATACGAAAATGTTAATTTAATGATCAAGTCATTTAGAAGTAGATTCAAGGGTGTGCTGGTTAGCCTTTAAAAAAATTTAATCTGAATATTGATATTTTGGATTTAGTAAAATTAAGGCTATGTGACTAAACACACGTCGAGACAAACTTATGTGACTTTTTTTTTTCTCTATTTGTAACTTACATAGATGGAAAATGATTATAAATCTATATATCCTTCTTTTTGTTGTTATGGCCACGAATCAATACAAATGTTGCATACGATTCCACTAAGCAATTCTCGATTACAACGATCGATACGTGGATTGGATCTCTACATTTTTTCTAACCTAACTTCAAAGTGACCTCTCTTTTCAAGTGTCAAGGAATGTATATTTATATTAATATTAGTGATGGATTCTGGATTTTTAATCAAAATATATATTACTAATTAAAAAGAAAAAGATAAATTAGGTACATAACCTTTTATACATTTATTACAAAAAAAATTGTATGCGTATATGTACTTGCTTTAAACCCTTGATATGTGCTTCATATATTTAAAATCCCATTTACAAACAGAAAAAATGATTTTTTTTTAATCGATGCTACGTATTCTTCACTTTAAGGATACAAATCCAACAAAATAAGCATAAGCATAAACCGTTCTTTATCTTTTATACATTTATGTATTTAACTTTGTCTTTATTTCTAATTTAGCAAAAGAAGATAAAATGCGTTATGGACAGAAATATACATGCATAATATCAACTTTAGGAATCTTTTACCTAATTACGTGTACGTTTATATTCCGTTTATGTCCACTAATGTCATAACTCATAAATGAATAAAGTTGATAATAATAGTGATTTGTGAAACGTCAACAATCAAATATAACACGAAATATAAAATAGGAGCATAATATTTATACTATTGGTTTAAATATCTAACGAGTAATTCCTAAAGTTAATTTTATAATTATATGTGTAACATCAGCTACTACAAAATAAAAAAATGGTGTAATTAAGATTTAAGGTACAAAAGTGTGATGCATTTGTATTTGTTCATTCTTTTCGTGCCCCTTAAACTACCAGGCGTAAAAATACTTTACACGCAATAAGCATTTGTACTGTACAAATGGCAGACGGACGTGATTTTGTAACCCCACTATGAAGGCGATGATTACGACGCCAGGATCACGAGGAATCCATTGTAATGCAGAAATCAGACTAAAAGCAATTGGTGATAAAACAGAGGAGGATAATCGAACACATTCAACAAAATGACTAGAAATAAGATGATAATCAAAAGCATTACAACAAGGAGCAATATTGAAACTTTAAAATCGACTGATCTGTAGTCTCCAGATCTTATGAACATAAAAAACAGAGCTTAAATCACACAGAGGGTTAACTATTACTATTAAGCATATACTTATATACCAACAGTTTGATTTAATCAGATTAAAGTAATTATGTAAACATACCTGATGTGAAAGGAGCTGAAAAAATGTAAGAACTGCGATCGATAAGATTATATTGTAATCCGTGAAAGGAAGTTTTTCAGGTTTTCTTCGGAAGCAAGGTTTGAGAGAGAGAAAGAGAGGGAGAATCCACCGCTCCACCGGAACACCACCACCACCTACACAATTCCGGAAGCTTTTTACAAGGAGAGAGAAGAAATCCTGCTTTTGAGTTATTTTAATGTGCTCTTTTTCTCTTTTCTTTTCAATCTTTTCATACCTAATACATACATATACATATACCTATATATATATAGATATAGATATATTTATATACAGGGAGAGATTGCTTTAGGAGGAGGAGAGGGTTAGTTTTGGTATTTGACTCTTCTTTTCCCGCCGAATGGCTGTTTGATACGTCGTAGCTAAAAAAAAGAGAGGAATTACTAGGTAAAATGAAATTCCAACAACATACTTTGAAAATTACATATAATTCAACCAAATCGTACATATAATAAACAAAGAAAAAGTAAAAAAATAATCATTTTTGTTATTTTTAAGGCACCTCCAATTCAATGATTAAACTCATAAATATTTTTTTTTCTTTCTAATCTTTTGGTTAACCTTTTCAAAACAGTTTTTTCTTATATAATTTATCATATCTTTATAAACATGTCACTTCCTACTAAAAATCAATCACACCCCAATTGATAAGTGATAATTTTTTATAGACATGATGCTTTGATACCAAAAATAACGACATGGCGGAATTAATATGATTAGGATAGAATTGTACCTGAATGATGCGTCGGAATGGATTGACGATAGATTGATTGTCTGGGTTTGATATGTTTATATGAATATATGGATAT